GTGGTTGTGTTTATTCAGCACCAATTACTCACATAAAGACTACGGGGTTTTGGCTACCAAAATATACAGGGTGTTCCAAAGCATGTATACACTGTTTGCGTTGATATCTCTTTTCCCAAGAAGTCTTTTGCTTACCTCTAAGCACTGTTTTATAGAGTTGGTTTCAACCTAGGTTAACAGTATGGAGCAAATCACGGATCATTATTCACTACTGTAATATTACGGTAGGAACTTTCAACTTATAGCGTCATTACGGGCTTACCGTATTTCAAAAAACTTCCCAAAAAATCTGAAAAGTGATGTACTAGAGTTTTCAAGCTCGCTGATTTTATTATTCAACTTTTTACGAGTTTGCAAAGCTTTTAAATGGTGTAATCACGATTTTATGGAGTTCTGTAAAAACAGCTATTGCGGTCTACCTGGCATAACTCATGAAGGAAGCATTGCGGTAAAGTGCGAACATCATATTTGGTTTGAGCGGCTTCAGCTGGCCTAGCGTGAAAGTACTCCGGTTGTTCGGCTCGGTTCCTAAGGCGAATAGGGTCCTTGACGGCTCACAACCCTTCTTGTAATTTCTACTAAAATCCCACAGTAATGAAAACGACAAGCGACCAGTGATTCGCTCTATACTGTAAATCTAAGTTGAAGCCAGCTCTATGAAATTGTGCTTAAAGGTAAGCAAAAGACTTCTTGGGAAAAGAGATATCAACGATCAGACGGTGTATACATACTTTTGGGACACCCTGTATATATATTTACTCCAAAAATTTTCTTAGGAGGTAAGGAACTGGGGTATGGCACAACCCCAAAAAGCTTTGGCTGCCACACCTTTTTAACTCGTTGACGACGAGTCATTTTCTTGAGGTCTGTCCCTGTGGACGAGACGTTTCCGTGCATCCCTGCGCCTGGCCGCATGTATATATGCATGCATCCATGCAAGAATTATAAAATGTGCAAGCTCCGCCCACTCGGCCAAAAATGTCAGAAATTGCGCAGATTTTAAAAATCCACGCCAATTCCGCCACTTTTGAAAATGGGCGGAGCTTGCCACTTAAAGGGCGGAGTTTGGGTGGGCGGGGCCTGGCTAAAAATTGCTTTGGTCCTCAGGTCTTTGCGTTCGTTTACGGCTCATCCATGCTTTTCATGAACAAGGGTCCTTGTAAGGGGCATAGGAGTGGGCGGAATTTGCCAAAAGGGGTGGGACTAATACATGAAGTACATCTGAGCATATGTCAGGGTCAAGCAAGGGGTGTGGCACACGATCGCTGGTTACGACCCCCCCCCCCTGATTGCTGTCTTAATAAGACCCCCCCCCCCCCTGAACTATATACCTAAGATAGCACTACCAGAGTTGAGAAAGAGGTCAGACACAAGTCTTTCGAAAACAACCCCCCCCCCCTCCCCTCCCATGAAAGCCCTCAAAACCCCTTCTTCCTCCTCTTAACCTCTGGACCTCAAAGCATGACATTCTGGAGGATACCAGCTTTTTCTAGAGAGTTTTCAGATTTCTGAGAACTGTACGCCCGATTTTCTGTGACTGCACTTTACAATCACACGTAATTTGACGGCTGATTTTATCTGAATGGGCATATTGAAAGGGCCACAATTTTCTTATGGGTGGGGCGTTCGGCTCCAAATTTCCAGTGTAGCAAGGAGAAGCTATGTGCTCAGTACTCATATCAGCAATGGAGCGCTTTCTGGATTTTGAAGGCAAGTTAAGGGGGTGCGGCGCACCCCCTTAAAAGCTGCGGCTGCCGCAGCTTTCAAGGGGGTGCGCCGCACCCCATTAACTATATCAAAAAAACATTTTTAGCGGGAAGTGTTTATATAAATCGATAGCCTAAACCTTGGAGATTCCATAGGACTGTTTGGAGCCTGATTCGTCTTCTTAGCTCTGAGTAATATTTGGTGAAAGCACAGCGATCACAAGCGAAAAATGGGAAAAATGAGATTTTGGTTGGCTTCTAATTCCACAGTTTCCAGGTCTTCTGAAGTGGGATTCCTGAGGTGGACAAAGAAGAAGTAGTGCTTTGTCTTGAGTGCAAAAACGAATATCTAATTCACCTTTAAAACAAAGTTAAAGATGTTGGAATTTGACCATTTCACTTAGGTAGCCTAGTATCTTGAGTCTTCAGAATTCGCTCACACTTTGTCTACAGGGATTATTTGACATGCTAATTATGGATAGAATACGATTATCATGTTATCACTATTATCAGATTACCCAACTACGACCCCCTCCCCTTTTGACTCCTCAATACGACCCCCCAGGTGTGGCGTGCCGCACCCCACGCTTGACCCTGGTTATTAACGATCAAAAGTGTTCACATTCTTTTGGGACACCCTGTTGGCACTATTTTGACCATTCCGGCATAGTTTTAACGAAAGGGAATTTTCATCGAACAAATGAACATCAAATAATTGACTTTCGGAAAATTTTTCGAATGAAAGAATTTTATTTGTTTTCCTTTTTCATATTATTCGAGTTTGAATATTCGAATCTGAGCACATAACAGAATTCGAGTTTTTGAATATTCGAATAACTGAACTTGATCGACTATGCGAAGAATCAAATAGCTGATTATCATCGAAATACGAATTTGCAAGGAAGTTCGCATATGAAACAAGCGAATAAACTTTTTGACACCCGAATATTCAAATATTCGAGTGTCAAAGTTTACTCAAATTTTCGATTGCGCCAATAAATGAGTATTCGAATAATGGTTTTTTTTCACTCATTCGACTATTAGGATAACTGAAAAACTCACTTTCTCGAATATTTGACTACTCGAATACTCTAATAGTCGAATATTTCGAATGAAATTTTCGAATACGAATATCCGGCTCCAACTTTACATTCCAGTCTTTCATCAGCTAAGATCCTCCCTTCTACCTGAAGTTGGGATTGCTGACGTCACGGGCGGAAGCCGAATGTAGGGCATTTAGGTCCTTGCGGTATGCCCGAAATCGCGCCGGCGACGATCAGCAGCGCTGAGTCGAAAAGAAATGGCAAATCGCATGACCGACTCTCTGGAATTGACGCAAATCTTCACAGGGGTCTGATAGTTCCGAGACAACACATGTTCGCGCTGTGATATCTATCTTACGGACTTGTGCCGTTTTCATCCCGAGGCTTGAGCACTGTTTACTCAGTCATTCATGATAAAGAGGGTAGCCCCCAGAGGAATGAACATTTTAGGTTTTCAACAGATTCGGCTATGGAATGGCATGCGTAGCAATTCGAGGTAGTGACCAGGTTCGGCACGAGGTGGCTAGATGAAAATGGAAAAAACGAAGTCACCCTTGACTTTTGGGAATTTTTACGAAGTCTCCTTTGACCCTCAACCAAATTTCCTCTAAAAACCTGAAAAATTCCCCAAAATCCCCCAAAAAACGAAACATCGCCAAGTCGCCAATTTTGCGTCTCTCTTCGGTCACACAAACGAAACCCCCTTTGCTTGTCGTCCCAAAAACGATATCCAGCTTGCTTGTAAGCCACCTGTGCCAAGCCCTGGTAGTGACAAAGACAAGAACCTACGAAAACCGTTGTTGCCACGCATATTTGTCACCACCGAACTCATGGATATGTTAGTGACTCTCACTCATGTTTCATAGATCTTCACGTAGTTTATTGGAGGTAATAATTGTTCAAGGTGTTTCCATTGGATGAGGCATTTTCTTAAGTTGTTACTGGGCATATTTAGGCTTTGTTGATTATGCAGTGGCTTAGTAATAGTACACAATGGCACGTGTCCCCATTATTGTACGTAAAGCTGACAAATGAACCTTTACCCATGCGTGCTATAGTTTATCGAAGGCATTGCCGTACTATCGTACTTCCGATATACTATGGCACTGCTAAACATGTTTTTAGAGAAATCAGAAAAATCTCAGGATATCGGACGAACTGTTGTTTGAGAGCTGTGACTCATCACGAAACTCACAACCTGCACAAATCTTTTGTTTTGTTGAAACATCCTTAGCAGTGCCACAGTAGACTCAGTATAACATTACGACGTTTTCATCGACAAGCTTTTACTGTTTCGCGTGATTTCGTGGGAATCACACTCTAAGTAATGAAATTGGAAGCCGAGCAGAAATTTCGTTCATTTTATTTTTTGCTTGCAGTGACTTCAGCAAATATTACTTAGAGGAGTGAGAGCGAATCGGGCTCAAGTTACTTCTGTGAGAACTGCGAGGTTCAAGACACTGATTTATTTTTGAAATGTGCATCAAACCTTTGGTAAAATCGTGGCACGGCTCCAAAAAAAGTGTGGTTGCCACAATTTTCATGAGCTTGCGCAACACCCTATATTTTATCATAGAAGAAATTGCGGATAATCTGTATACGGTTCAAAAGGTTAAGTACAGTATACAATACAGTATACAATTGCCACTACTCCCCCTCCCCATGCTATCACTAACACTACAATAGTCTTGCTGATGGAAAAGAATAGAGAAAGACCTTAAACATACCTCCCGCGATTTCAATCGCCATGCGATTGGCCATTGGCCAGACCAGATCTCTTCAACCCAAGCACTCGCAGACCACAAATGCTTGGTGTATTCAACTTTTGTAAGTCGGTGAAATGCAGTTTCCGTTCGTTCAAAGAGTTTGCGGCAAGTTATAAGCAACTGGAGTATTGCCAAGTTGCGTCGCCGCCGAAATCGCGCGAGGTATGCCCGGGGCCTAACTAGCTACATGAAGGTAACCTCTGCTCATTACCATAGTTGCTTTGAATGGGTAATGCAACCAGTGTTTTTATAAAGTATTGTGATTTGTGATAAAAGCGTGGTTTGTAAACGTAATCAAGTTCGTTGCTTGATACTGCCAAGGTCGCGATAACACGGCGTGAACTTTTCCAATCGTCACTCCGGACATGTTGCGGCAAATAAGGAATTTTTTATATATTTTTATTTTATGCACTATTTCCCATCAAACTCGATCTATTTCCTTGGTATCGACCATAACTACATAAAAGGCAGAATCATTTCAGGAGATGATTCTAATTCTCACAGTTTTCTCGGCATTTCTTTTTGTGTTTTATCATATCTACTGGAAGAGACGAGGTTTACCACCAGGTATGTGGTTGCAGTAGAAAAGGTTGTGGAAAAATGAGAGGTTATTGAAAGTTAGCTGTAGTCATTGAGCATGTCAGCAGTTATTTTTTATTATTTTTATTTTTGTTTTTGTTTCATATTACTAGAAATTGCGATGGTTTGCATTACTAACGACTAGGCCAGCTTCTCCTATTTGACAGAGAAACCCATTGTATTCACATACTGGACCTGCGTGTCCACAATTTGAAAAGCTAGTATCTTCTCCGGTTATTCGTAAAATCATTAAGTGAAAATCCTGACCGTGTTCTACCTTACACATAATAGTGAATCGCGTCTTTTGAAGATACTTTTTTGGTCGTTATGCGGGTTCTGTCAGCTAGCTTCAGACCGTCAGCTCGCACTCAAATATGTGTACGTGTTTATTTTTAGACGCAGCTGAGTTTCGAGACACTTGCAGAGGCAAAGTACCAGCTCATTCTTAATTATTTTGGTCAACACCTCCACTCTGAGTATCATGTACGCTTATAGCAGATCGGTTTTATTCATTTGATGATAGCCTCCTCGCAGTGGCGGTCCCAGGATTGCCGTTTGGGAACTACAAAAAATTTTCTCAATAAAGGTCGTCAGCACGCATTCCAAAAACTTTTTGGGGTGCTTCCCAAAAATTAGCACGGGTTTATAACCCCTAAAACCAAGAAAAAGGGGGGCGTAGCGGTGGCCATGCCCCGAAAAAATTGCAGGGCTAACTAGGATTTTAAAAAATTTCTTGTAAAAGGAGATTTTTTGAAATTATTTACAAAAATAGATAAGTCACTTGCGCATTTCCCAGCCCGCAGGTAAATCGTGAAAATTTGGCTTACTCAGTTAATTTATATCTATCTCTGTGACAGGATGAGTTGATGTTATGTTCTGTATTTGTTCATTTTTTCTTTTTTCCCCTATGCACCCGGAATGTATAATACAAATAAACAAGGTGCAGTTGCTATGGCAATTCTAAAATTCTCCAAAAACCAATGAATCTCTTGGAGGCAGCCTGGGACATTCTCAACTCATTTTTTTGTCATTCTCAAGCTTTTCCTGCCCCTTATCCCAAATCTAATGTTCGAATTGCGCGAAAACTGCCAAAACCGCGAAGTACCTGTAAATGCGCAGCTGTGAAGAGTTCGAAAGAGGTTTGTGAACCGCTTTGAGATCGTGTTTGGGAGCTCCAGAATATTTCCTTAGCGGAGTTGATCAATAGCTCCAATTGAAGGGTGCTCTAAACGTCACCAAGATCTCACATGAACAAGTTTTGCCCCCAGCTGTTATCATATTTAATCCAGTTACTGTTATGGGCACATAATAGCAATGATGCTTTATCGCCAGAATATTGAACAGGAGAACTGACTTTGATTTCATAGTAAACTTTAGCACTTCGTAATTTAGCCATAACATTCATCATTTTTAGGTCCAACTCCATTGCCATTCATCGGTAATCTCTTCACTCTGTTCTTCTATGAACCGGGATATGAAGCATTTCGACTATGGTCAAAAAAGTATGGACGTTGCTTTACGTTTTGGATGGTAAACAGACCTGCCGTTGTTGTGACAGATTATGAGCTTCTGAAGGAAACACTAGTCAGAAATGGATCCGCTTATACAGGCCGATTGGCAGTACCCTATTCGCGAGCATTGAGAGGTACACATTGTATATTTTTAACAATCAAAAATTAAAAAAAAATACTTTGAGGTGGCGATTATGGCATCACAGAGACAACTGGAGAGCTTTGGCAACAACAGAGACGATTTGTTTTGCATGTACTTAGGGAATTTGGCATGGGGAAAAATCTGATGGAAGAGAGGGTGAGCTTAAAACCAAAGTTCAAATGGAATCAAATGTGCCTTTTAGCGAGGGATAAATTTTAGGTTTTGACGGAAGTGGCTGATTTTTTGGAGCAATGTAGAAGAAATGTCGGCCAAGAATTCGACCTTCGTCAGAATTTTCACGCTGCCATCGGCTCCATCATTAACAGCATTTTATTCGGATTTCGCTTTGATGAGGTAAATGACAAAGTTCAAGGTCCGCACGCGTTTTTTCTCATAAAAATTGACCTAGAACAACATGCATTTGTTCCTACGCCTAAAAGGAGCAATGGACAAACTTATGGAAATTTTTGCACGACCAGATTTCGTGCTTTGGATGTTCTACCCGATTCTGAAATATTTTCCCTATTTCCGCAACTTCAACAAAGGTAATGGCTCGGTCTACTATACCTGTAACCTCATGCGTCCCGTGATGCCACCTGTTATTGGTGTCTGTGATTTCGATGTTCCTGTAATTACTGTTTCCAAAGAGCGCGAAAAACTCCGTTTCTGAAATAATAATGATGCTGAAAATCTTACTGGAGTTTAGGATATCGTTCATTCGAAATGCGAGTGACGAAATTTTGATGTCGTATAATAGCTCGCCCCTAACCAAGCAATTGCCCAAGTCTCACTGCAAAAGACGAATTCCAAAGCGAGAAAACCGCTATGGAAGGTAAAAGTGGCGATTATGACTTCGGCCATCAACGTGGGTGATCTAGAGATGAGAGCCCCAATTAAGCCTCAGGCTAAACAGAAATAACGCATTGTATTGATCATATTGAAGGGTGGGTTTACGACAAATCTAGATACATTAAAGCCCTTTGAAATTTTTCTTTTCAGACACCCAAGTTGATGGGCGGGGTCATCGTTGGCCGCTTCTAACTTCTGTAGCGGTTCGGAATTCATCTTTTAAGGCGAGATTTTGGGCGATTGTTTGATTAAGAGCCCCTACCCCCTATTACATGTCTGGAACTTTAAGGACTTCAAGGACGAAAATTTGCGCTACACTAAAAGAGGAATTCTAGGAATATACTGTGGCCCACCAATGCTATAGGCACAGTGTTGCTAGACAATCTACAGGGTATCCCAAAAGTATGAATACACTGTTTGATTGTTTTTTTATCTCTTTTCCCAAGAATTCTTCTGCTTACCTTTGAGCGCCAATCTATAGAGCTGGCTTCATCTTAGATTTACAGTATGGAGCGAATCGCCGGTCGCTCTTCATTACTGTACGATTACGGTAGAAAGTTCAAGAAGGGTTGTGAGCCATCAAGGATCCTACTTCGCCTCAGGAAGCAAGCCAAACAACCAGAAAACTTTCATGCTAGGCCAGCTGAAGCTGCTAAAACCAAATATGATGTCTGCACTTTGCTGCAGTGTTTCCTTCATAAGTTATGCCAGTAGACCGCAATAGCTGCTTTTACAAGACTCCATAAAATCGTGATTACACCATTTTAAAAGCTTTGCAAACTCGTAAAAAGTTGTATAATAAAATCAGCGAGCTTGAAAACCCTAGTACATCATTTTTCAGGTTTCTTGGAAACTTGTTTTGAAATACGATAAATACGTAATGACGCTATAAGTTGAAAGTTCCTACCGTAATCTTACAGTAGTAGAAAATGATCCGTTCGTTCGTATGAATCGTTCCATACTGTAAATCTAAGTTGAAGCCAGCTCTAGAAAATGGTGCTGAGAGGTAAGCAAAAGACTTCCTTGGGAAAAGAGATATCAACGATCAAACAGTGTATACATACTTTTGGGACACCCTGTATAAGCTACTCTTAAAGTTTTTCCCATTATCTAAATTTTTCCTAAAAGTATTCTTTTAGCAACAGGAGTGATCGAAACTGACAAGTTGCTTTCTGCTATGATCAACTCACAGATAGAAGAGCACAAAGCAGAAATAGATTTCGAAAGCGAGAAAAGCACTGACTTTGTGGAAGCATTTTTGAAAGAACAGAAACGTCATGAGGATGAACCCGATTTTGGAGGATTTTCGTGAGTTTCGAAAGTCCTTTCATGTATATAATATCTTCGAGAACCTTAGAATGAATCAACTGCGGAACGTTTGCCTGGATCTCTGGTTTGCCGGTATGGAAACAACATCGAACACGCTCTATTGGGGAGTTCTTTACGTACTTTTGGACCCTGAAGTGCAGAAGAACATCCATGAAGAGCTAGATCGAAAGATTGGATATCCACGACTGATCACCATTGCCGATCGAAGTTCGCTTCATTATATGAATGCAGTGATAAATGTGAGTAGAAAGCATATGCCCTCGGATCTAAATATGACAAAACGCACTAAAACAAAAATACCCAGATCTCCCTCCCCCCCTCTCCCCGTCCTTAAAAACAAATCTGATTTCTTTACTTACTCAATACTTTTGGCTGAGACCACCAGCAGTGGAAGTAACAGAATTTATTTCCGGAGGGGGACAAGGCCGGACAAAATATATTCCAACAAAGGGGGGGTCAGCAACGCTTTCCAAATCGAATTTAAAAACCCGAATTTTTTGCAAAATTGCAACTTGGCAAAAGTTTGGAAGAAAGTAACCGTGGCTTCCAGATTTCGCAGAAAATTTTTATGAACCAAAAACTTGTAAAATCAATTATTTTGATTTACAGATATCAAATAGTTACTTACACAAATTATTCATAAGTCATGTTGTTTATTGTCATATTCCCCCCTCCCCCCAACCCCGTCTCCATCCCAATAAAATAAAATTTCAGGAAGTTCAACGTCTGGCCAACCTCCTTCCACTGAACGTATTCCATGAGACTACCGAAGATGTGGTTATTGATGGCTACCATATACCTGCTGGAACTCTTTTTCTACCCCAAATCTCCAACGTCATGTACGATGAAAAGGTGAGTGTCAAATTTTGAGCAAAATTTTCCCTTCTTAAAACTGTTTCAGGTGTTCCCAGAACCATGCAAATTCGACCCTAAGAGGCATTTAACAGCTGAGGGAGCTTTCATGAAGATCGATGAGGTCGTGCCGTTCTCTATGGGAAAGAGACAATGTGCTGGCGAAGGACTAGCAAGAATGGAACTATTTTTGTTCTTAGCAAATCTATACAATCATTTTGAGGTTCGTTGAGATTCAAAAAAGCGCTGTTCTCAAGATTTTTTGTAGGTGTCACAATATGGCGATGAGATCCCATCAACGAAGAAACGCTTTGGAAGCACAGTTTCAGCGGAAGATTTTTCTGTGGTTCTTCGAGAGCGATTCTGACGATAAAAGTGATTTTCAGTCTTGAATTTGAGCATACTATTTCAGTACAGATCCTCAAAAATAGATCTTTGTGAACATTTTTGTATACGTATGTAGCTTTGATGAATTCTGTAAAAAAGAGAGAGCGAGATGTCGAAAACATAGAAAGTTAGGCAATAACTTGAGAAACAGTAAAGCAGTTCTATTAGAAACTCCTGAAAATTGATATTTAGTTGATTGAAATGATTCCAAAATGCAAGTAAAAATTTACGATAAAAATTTCACGACTGCTCTCTAATTTTTTCGAAAACCCTTATGAAGATAGAAGAACTCCGAAGAATCCTAATATATTTCCCTAGCACTAGCCTCTGCTTCTATTAAAAATATACATTGGAACATTTTTTTCAATGAAAGGAAAGTTGCCAAATTCAAATTGGCTGACAAATAATTTCGGTTGCTTTGGGTCCTTAGAAATGGTGAAAAAAATTTTCGTCCAATATACTTCCGAAAAGACTACTTCAATAGAAAGCAGAAGGTACACTTTATTTGACTAGAAAGCTTTTCCAGTGAAGAAAATACGTAAGGTCTTTTCATGTAACTCCTATACCAGTCTGAAGAGCAATAAAAAATGGTTCCAAATTCGTTTTCATCTGCCAAACGCTTCTGAGTTATGAGCCGTTTCTGTAGTTGAAAAATTGCATGCGCAGCTCGATCAAAATTCCTCCAGAATCGCTCAACTGAACAGTAAATTATCAGAGCACATCAGTCAACAGGTAACTTCTGTCTATGCACTCATATTCAACACTGCCCTACTTAACTGCTCAAAAGACCCTGAAGGTTGAATTTACTTACAAGGGAGTGGTCAAAAGTCGAAGTGGCCAATCCATACAAGCTGCATACCATTCGATGCAGCACAAAATGCTGATTTCAAATCTGTCTTCCATATCTGCAGAGCGCCTTTGTAGGCGAAGTTATGAGCAGCTTTACTGCGAAAAAATCGTATGCAAAAATTGCGATATCAGGCACCTATTGCTCTTTTAGCTCACGTCTAGGTACGAGTCATATGAACTGATCTAGTTACACGTTTTGGTCCAACACTGAGCCGAGAATGGCTTTGTACGGCCAAGTTTGCACTTTACACACACAATTTCTTAGAAAAATAATGGCTTTCAACGGCTCATAACTTCGCCCACGAAAGCGCTCTGCAGATAAGAAGACAGATTTAGAATCAGCGTTTTATGCTGCATCTAATGGTACGCAGCTTATATGGATTGGCCACTTCGACTGTGACCATTCGCTTGTTAGATCCTGCGTTCCTTTTTTGCTCCAGAAAACTCATGACTCGGCATAAAGAAAATGGCAGAAAGTAAGAATTAATTTGGATTTAATCAATGCATCAATGCTCGTCAAAGCAATGTGGTGCTCCTTTGGAAAGGCCACTTTGACTAAACGGACCTTCCTTGCAAGATACCCCTATTCGTGGTGCGAAAATGGAAATATTTTGTAGACTTAAAAGCAGTGTCTAGGCTAAATCTAACCCCTTGCCATTAGGGTCGATCCTAAACCCCAGTTCGACCCCACAGAGACGCATCTGCGTTGGTCCGTTCCTCTACTGTTGTCTCCGAATGGAGATAAGGGGCCGGGAACAGCCAAAGTGCTATCAGGCCCTAACCAGATCCTATCAGACTCCGCCCATCCATGTACTGAAAACCGCCAGTGCCCTGCAGAGGGTCCTTATAAATCAGGATTTTGGGGGTTTAGGACTATTTGAACTTCATAACTGTAATCAGGGCCAGGGGAAGGCGGCAAAAACATGGGAGGCAAAATTTTGAGTGGACGCTGCCTTTAACCACAAATCAAGCTTTCTATTTGGGTTTTTTGGACAACTACATATGTGTGCATAGAATAAATAAAAAATAAAAAACTCAGCAGGGCGATTACAATTCTTAAATGTTGTTCGCTAAGTTGATAAAACTTGTCTGTGTCTATTCACAAGTTACATCCTTGCATATACCCCAGAGCATGAAAAACGGAACCTAAGTTGAGGGACTGAGTTTCTGGCAATTTGGACATTTTGGGGACATTTTGGGATTTTGTTCTTTTTTGCCAATACGAAATCTTGACTAAGTGATATGTGGGAGTGGAAGCTTATAACTGTCTCATTTCAAAAAAAAAACCATAGCTAAGTAACAACATTTTACACGTCAAAATGGAATCATTTTCGGCCAACCCAATACTATTATTAACAAAATATCTATGATAACCAGAAGCCAACAGTACATGTATGAATATCTGAGTTTTATTTTTTCCCTGCATAACACGTAAAATCGCTTTATCGCCCAAACTAATTAATCTATGGATCTAATGAGAAGTTCTAGTTGAGAATGTTCTAAAATTACTTGTTCTGATCATCAATGCGATCACGATCTCAACCACCTCTCCAACGACCGGAACCCGCTTTCTTTCAACGACATCGTCATCGCGTTATCGATCAGCAAAACAATCGTTTATGTCGTCCTTAACTCATAAGAATCAACTCAACTTCGCTAGTAGATACCTACTTGAAAATGTCTGATGACGAGTGCGCCAACGATATTCTCTACTATGCAGCTGAAGGAAGTCTGGTTGGTTTTAGCAGATTTAAATTGATTTTGATAAGGGTTTCATGTAGCGACTTATTCTAATTCAAGAATGCCTTGGAAAATGGTTCAATCTTTGTTAGATACTTAAACATATAACAAAAGTTCTATATGATCATGCATATTAAAAATATTATGCAAAACAAGTTCAGCACAATATTGGTAGACATATCCGACTGCCAAAAATTTCCGTCAGTTCAGAGCAGGTCGTAAAACCATCGTCAAAGATAAAATGCATTTTTGTTTGGGCATTTCAGCAATTTTAGCGACCAACATTCCAAAAACTCAATTTGAGTGTTCCTCTTGAAAAGCGCTCCAAAGTGCCAAAAAAACATATAGATTTCCAACTTCCCTTTCTTTTCTACCACTAGACAGGAATCAAACAAAGATCACAGAATTCCCCGGAAGTCATCAGCAGTGAGGGAAGATCATCAAATGTAATCGAGAAAAGTTTGAAACTAAACTAACTTAAACCATTTCGTTCTTCCTTTCTGATTGAGATAATCTCAGAGTTGGATAATTAACCAAATAGGATTTTTGCTTGGAGAGTAGAAGATGCATAACTTTTTTCTCTCTTAGCTATTGAATCAAACGAATGTTTTGAAAATGGTGAAAGTCTGATGAACCCATCTACTATTGATATTTACTTATTTTGATATCATTTAATTTTGAACTTTTTTGAAATTGACAGACGCACAATAAAATTCAAAATTATGTTCGTTGCCCATTTCTGCTACGTCAAATTAACAGTATAACATGTACCTTTGATATGAATTACCTGACTTAAGATCCTACCTACACAAGATGTAAAGCTTCAGATATCTCTCACATTGACATCATGATAAAGATTTTCAGGAATTTAGGAATTCCAAAAGCTTATAAGTGCTAGAAAACCGTCTAGCACCTATAAGCTTTTGGAAGCAGGATTATTTTAGTAAGAATATTTTTTTAATAATTTTCAAACAAGCTGTTTTATGCCGATATGGAGAGGCTGGTGAAGCGACATCGCGAATGGATAGCACATCGAGACAATCGTGGCAGAACGGCAGCGATGCATGCGGCGATTGCCGATAACGTCAGAAATTTGCAGTTCCTCTTGAGGTAAGGGAAGCTATACAGCAGAAATTTGAAAAGTGAAAAAAAATGCTCAGATGAAACCTAAGGCAGATATATCCTAGAAGATGTGATAGTTTATTAGTTTTTTAGGCTGCAGAAAGCGTTCGCAGTAATGGCCATGAGGCCCAAAAAATGAAAAGCATGCGATTGATGGCTTTTGATTGCGAATATCGTTAGAATTACAGTATGTGATTTTTTACTAAGTGATGTTAATACTGCCCACATTACATTTTGAGATTACTAGTTTATAAGAGCCGTCGTACAAGCGCTTGTCTAACAAAAAATATTCTTTGGACATAGGGTGGCCGATAAGCATGGGAGTTACGACAATATGTTAGGTTGGAAAAAAAAGAATGTTGCTTTTTTTTCAGTTTCCTAAGCTAAAAATGTTGTTTCTCAAAAAACTAAAGCATTACAAGGGTAAAACTTCATGGTTAAAGTTCTGAAGATTTGTAGACTATAAATGCATACATGGGTGGAATCTAGGTCTACTGTGGGCGAACTTTACCATTTTTCGATTTTCTGATTTCCAGCCGCGAATATAGCAACTTTATGAATAAGAACAAGTGCGTGTGTCTGTCACACGCAAGAGCAACTGGTTTGAGGTTCATAGGATTTTTTCGGCTAAATTTCGATTTTTGGCATTTTGAGTGGCTATTATATTCTGGCGTACAACTTTGTTTGGATAAACGACACACGTCAATATTCAAAAGCCATCTTTAGAGCTTGATTTGCTCTATCGAAAGATAGTCCTCAATTATTTTTTTAAACGACAATCTTTTCTTTCCAACCTGCAGTGAAAGGGGAATTATCTTGACTGTGCAAATATGAAAATAAACTCTATATTCCATAGATAAAAATTTTGTCTTCGATTTATCGTAACCCCACATCATTATTACCTTGAATATAGATACAGCTATAATCACTTTTTTTCAATATACGTAAATATTTTGAACTTCTCCATATTATGTTGGAAAGGTGCCTGTAAAAATTACGGAATTCAAACAAAATAAACTTGCCAAAACTGTTAACAGCTAGGCTTACTATCTATCTTTCCGTCCATCTAATCACTTTCGGAAATTTTTTAACTTTCTAGATTCTAAACGCTCTTACACCAAGCATGTAGGCATCCTCTCTGCGAATTTGAACGAAGTCTAAGTTTCCCCTCCACCAATAATTGCTCTTATCCAAAAGAATATTTACCAATTTCAATTTTTCAAACTACGACTTTCCCGCATAACGTGGCGGGTTAAATCACCTTATGAT